TGGGGAAGGAGGTGTGGGTGTTAAGATGGTTGTGAGTGTGAGGATTATGAGAGTGGTGAGGGAGTAGGGTTGTTTCCACTACTTTTACTTGGACTTGCACCAAGATGAGTGGTTCCTAAGACCAGTGGATTGCTCTTATCCTTTAAAAGTAAGGGGGCTGAGGTTTTTAGGCTCAGATGCAAGAATTAGCAGTTCTTGTTGGTTCAACCTCCCCTCGGCAGGTAAGAAGGGTTTAACTTCTATTTTTAGGGTCACGGTCTAATGTTTGATTTAAACTATACTTGCATGAGAGAGGCCCTGAGATTAGTTCTGGTTTTAGGATGAGGAGGAGTAGGGGGAGGAGGTGAAGGGTTATTAGAAGATGTTCTCGGGTGGTTGAGTTTTGGAGGGTTGTGATGTGGGGGGGCAGGGTTCCTCGTTGGGTGGTTGTTAGTATGAATAGTGTATATGAGGCGGTTAGTAAGGTGGCTGTTCCAGTTAGGATGATGGTGGGGGGAGATCAATTGAATAGTGCAATTATGATATTTAGTTCTGCTATAAGGTTTGTGGTTGGAGGCAGGGCTATGTTTGTTAGGTTGGCTAGTAACCATCAGGTGGCTATTAGGGGGAGGATGGGTTGTAGTCCTTGGGTTAGAAGGAGGATGCGACTGTGTGTGCGTTCGTAGTTTGTGTTGGCTAGGCAGAATAGTATGGATGAGGTTAGGCCATGTGAGATTATGAGAATTATGGCTCCAGAGAAGGATCAATGTGTTTGGATCATACATGCAGCGATGACTAGGCCTATGTGACTTACGGAGGAGTAGGCGATGAGAGATTTTAGGTCGATTTGACGTAGGCAGATGGAGCTGGTTATTAGTGCTCCTCATAGGGCGAGGGTTATGAATGGGTAGTGGAGGAGGCTGGTTAAGGATGGGTCTGTTAGGTGGGTGATACGTATAATGCCATATCCTCCTAGTTTGAGGAGTAGGGCGGCAAGTAGTATGGAGCCTGCGATTGGGGCTTCTACGTGGGCTTTTGGGAGTCAAAGGTGGAGGCCGTATAGTGGTGCTTTAACTATGAAGGCTATGAGTAGGGCTATGTTTAGGAGGATGGTGGATCAGTAGTTGGTTGGTGAGGATGTGGGGGGGTGGGGGGAGAGTTTAGGGTGGGGAAGTGTAGAGTGCCGGTTTGTGTGTGTAGGTATAGGATTGCGATGAGTAGGGGGAGGGAGCTTATGAGTGTGTAGAAGAGGAGGTAAATGCCAGCGCTTAGGCGTTCTGGTTGACTCCCTCATCGTGTAATTAAGATTAATGTTGGGATTAGGGTTGCTTCAAAGGAGATGTAAAATATTATGAGCTCTGTGGTTGAGAAGGCTAGGATGATAAGGGGTTGTACTGCGATTAGGGTTGATGCGAAGATACGTTTTCGTGTGGGTGGTTCGTGTTGTAGGTGGTTTTGGCTTGCTAGGATTATGAGTGGTATAAGTCAGCAGGATAGGACTAGTAGGGGGGAGGATGTTTGGTCGATGCCTGTTCATTGGGTGAGGTTTTTTGTATGGGTGGTATGAGGGGGTCAGTCATTGTAGGCTTAGGGTGGCGATTAGTAGGCTGTGTGTGGTGGTGTTTGTTCATAGTGATTTTAGTGGGGATAGGAGGGCTGTTGGGAGTAGTATTATTGTTGGTAGTATGATTTTTAACATTGTAGAAGGTTTAGGTTTTGTAGGTGGTCGGAGCCGTGTGTTCGTGTGGAGGCTACTAGTATTGCTAAGCCTGTGCCTGCTTCGCAGGCGGAGAATGTGAGTATGAGGATTGGTGTGAGGGTGAGGGATGGTGCTTGGTTTTCGATTGGTCAGGTTGATAAGGCGATGTATATTGAGAGTATTATGCTTTCTAGGCATAGTAGGGCGGATACAAGGTGTGCTCGGTGGAAGGCCCATTCCTAAACAGCCTAGGGCAAAGGCTGCATAGAAGCTTAGGTGAAGAAGGGGCATGGAGAAAGTCATAGGAGGAGCTATGGTTTGTTGAGTCGAAATCAACTGTCTTGTTTTAGACTAACTTTCTTATTCTGCTCATTCTAGGCCTCCTTGTGTTCACTCGTAGATTAGGCCTAGGGTAAGTAAGAGGATGATGGTGGAGGTTCAGGTTAGAGTGGTGGTTGGGTGTTTTAGTTGGGTAGCTCATGGTAGTGGTAGTAGGAGGGCAATTTCTAGGTCGAATAGGAGACGGCGCGTTGCTTCGGGACGATCCACGCGGGCACGCCGCAGTACCTGGTGGCGGGGCGTTGGACGCCGCCGTGCTGCCTACGGGCGTTGAGGGAGACGGCGCGGCACGTGGTGTCGGTGTTGGAAGAGTCGGGAGTCCGGTATTGGTTGGAAGGGGGATCGCTGTTGGGCGCCGCGCGCAACGGGGACATCATCCCTTGGGATTACGACGTGGATTTGGGAGTCTACAAGGAGGACGTGGCGAGGTGCCGGTGGTTGGCGGCGGCGGCGGCCGGGGAGGCGGTGGAGGATGAGGATGGATTCCTATGGGAGAAGGCGGTCGAGGGGGAATTCTACCGCGTGCATTACAGCCGGAGCAACCGGCTCCACGTGGATCTGTGGCCCTTCTATTCCCGCGCCGGCGTGATGACCAAGGAGACGTGGTTGGGTCATCGGCAGGACGTGGAATTCCCGGAGAGATTCCTGCAGCCTCGGGTGCCCGTGGAGTTCGCGGGATTCACGGCCATGGCGCCCAACAGCGCCAGGGAATTCCTGGAGTTTAAGTTCGGAGCCGGAGCCATCGAGAAGCCCGAGTATCCCAATCCCAGCGTGAAGAGGATGGGGCAGGAATGAACAAAGGGGGGTGATGGGGATGGGGAATGCTCGGATATAAAGGGGTTGGGATGGGGAATCCCAGGATACAAAGGGGTTGGGATGGGGAATCCCAGGATACAAAGGGGTTGGGATGGGGAATCCTGGGACATTAAGGGGTTGGGATGGGGAATCCCGGGATACAAAGGGGTTGGGATGGGGAATCCTTGGATACAAAGGGGTTGGGATGGGGAATGCTTGGACACAAAGGGGTTGGGATGGGGAATCCTTGGACACAAAGGGGTTGGGATGGGGAATCCCAGGATACAAAGGGGTTGGGATGGGGAATCCTTGGACACAAAGGGGTTGGGATGGGGAAATCCCGGGATACAAAGGGGTTGGGATGGGGAATCCCAGGATACAAAGGGGTTGGGATGGGGAATCCCAGGATACAAAGGGGTTGGGATGGGGAATCCTTGGACACAAAGGCGTTGGGATGGGGAATCCCGGGATACAAAGGGGTTTAGGATGGGGAATCCTGGGATACAATGGGATTGGGATGGGGAATCCCGGGAATCCTGGTCCGTGCGTGTCCCCCATTGACAATAAAGCCTCTTTGTGCCCCCCCATTGTCCCCATCCCTTCTTATCCCCCCCCATCCCAATTGAGCCCCCCAAATGTGATATGGGGGGGGGGGTGTGTCCCTATGCCCCCCCCATCTCTGCTCCATCACAGCCACGTTTATTCACAGCACAAGGATGGGGGGGGACGGGGACATCAAGGGGGTCCATGGGGGGCAATGGGGGTCCATGGGGGGCAATGGGGGTTTAATGGGGGGCAATGGGGGGGGAGTTTGGTCCCGGTTCACTCCAGGGACTGGAGCATCAGGAGCTGCTTGAGGACCTTGGTCTGGCTCGTCTCCCGGATCTCCCCGGCCAGGAACATCTCATCCACCACCGTGTACACCTGGGGTGTGGGGCGGGACCCATGGATGTGGGGCGGGACCCGTGGATGTGGGGCAGGGGGCCATGGATGGGGGGCAGGACCCATAGGTGTCGGGCAGGGCCCATGGATGGGGGTAGGACCCATGGATGTGGGGCAGGAGCCACAGATTGGGGGGCGGGGACCCACGGATGGGGGGCAGGACACAGGGATGGGGGCGGGACACAGGGATGGGTATAGGACCCATGGATGGGGGCGGGACCCATGGATATGGGGCAGGACCCATAGGTGTGGGGCGGGACCCATGGATGTGGGGCAGGACCCAAAGGTGTGGGGCGGGACCCATAGGTGTGGGGTGGGACCCATGGATATGGGGCAGGACCCATAGGTGTGGGGCGGGACCCATGGATATGGGGCAGGACACATAGGTGTGAGTCAGGACCCATGGATATGGGGCAGGACCCATAGGTGTGAGGCAGGACCCATAGGTGTGAGGCAGGACCCATGGATATGGGGCAGGACCCATAGGTGTGGGGCAGGACCCATGGATATGGGGCAGGACACATAGGTGTGAGTCAGGACCCATGGATATGGGGCAGGACCCATAGGTGTGAGGCAGGACCCATGGATATGGGGCAGGACCCATAGGTGTGGGGCAGGACCCATAGGTGTGGGGCGGGACCCATGGATGTGGGGCCGGATGAGACTCGTGGTCCCATTACCTTATAGAAGTTGAAGACGAGGTCGAGCTCGCAGACGTTGTGGAAGTACTCATTGAGCACCTGGGGGCAGCCAGGGGCCATGGGTCATTAATTAGCCTTAATTAACTGACTCATAAGCATCAATTAACATTAATTACCAACGACCATTAATCATTAACGAGGTTAAGTCATTAATGAACATTAATTAATGTGTATTAACAAGCATTAAAGTCAATTTATTAAGGGCAATTAATGTTCTTTAGTTTATTAAGGACCGTCAATGAGGGCCGTCAATGAGGGTCGTCAATGAGGGTCGTCAATGAGCGTCGTCAATGAGGGTCGTCAATGAGCGTCGTCAATGAGCGTCGTCAATGAGGGTCGTCAATAAGGGTCGTCAATGAGGGTCGCTAATGAGGGTCGCTAATGAGGGTCGTCAATGAGCGTCGTCAATGAGCGTCGTCAATGAGCATCGTCAATGAGGGCCGTCAATGAGGGCCGTCAATGAGGGCCGTCAATGAGGGTCGTCAATGAGGGTCGTCAATGAGGGTCGTCAATGAGCGTCGTCAATGAGCGTCGTCAATGAGGGTCGTCAATGAGGGTCGTCAATGAGCGTCGTCAATGAGCGTCGTCAATGAGCGTCGTCAATGAGGGTCGTCAATGAGCGTCGTCAATGAGCGTCGTCAATGAGGGCTGTCAATGAGGGCCGTCAATGAGCATCGTCAATGAGGGCCGTCAATGAGGGCCGTCAATGAGGGCCGTCAATGAGGGCCGTCAATGAGGGTCGTCAATGAGGGTCGTCAATGAGGGTCGTCAATGAGCGTCGTCAATGAGGGTCGTCAATGAGCGTCGTCAATGAGGGCCGTCAATGAGGGCCGTCAATGAGCATCGTCAATGAGGGTCGGGTGTCAATGAGGGCCTGTCAATGAGGGTCGTCAATGAGCGTCGTCAATGAGGGTCGTCAATGAGCGTCGTCAATGAGGGCCGTCAATGAGCGTCGTCAATGAGCGTCGTCAATGAGGGCCGTCAATGAGCGTCGTCAATGAGGGTCGTCAATGAGCGTCGTCAATGAGCGTCGTCAATGAGCGTCGTCAATGAGGGCGGTCAATGAGGGCCGTCAATGAGGGCCGTCAATGAGGGCCGTCAATGAGGGCCGTCAATGAGGGTCGTCAATGAGCGTCGTCAATGAGGGTCATCAATGAGGGCCGTCAATGAGGGTCGTCAATGAGGGTCGACAATGAGGGTTGTCAATGAGGGCCGTTAATGAGGGTCGTCAATGAGGGTCGTCAATGAGGGCCGTCAATGAGGTTCGTCAATGATCGTCGTCAATGAGGGCCGTCAATGAGGGCTGTCAATGAGGGTCGTCAATGAGGGCCGTCAATGCGGGTCGTCAATGCGGGTCGTCAATGGGGGCCGTCAATGAGGGTCGTCAATGAGCGTCGTCAATGAGGGCCGTCAATGAGCGTCGTCAATGAGCGTCGTCAATGACGGCCGTCAATGAGGGTCGTCAATGAGGGCCGTCAATGAGCGTCGTCAATGAGCGTCGTCAATGAGGGTCGTCAATGAGGGCCGTCAATGAGCGTCGTCAATGAGCGTCGTCAATGACGGCCGTCAATGAGGGTCGTCAATGAGGGCCGTCAATGCAGGTCGTCAATGAGGGTCGTCAATGAGCGTCGTCAATGAGCGTCGTCAATGAGCGTCATCAATGAGGGTCGTCAATGAGGGCCGTCAATGAGCGTCGTCAATGAGGGTCGTCAATGAGCGTCGTCAATGAGCGTCGTCAATGAGGGTCGTCAATGAGGGTCGTCAATGAGGGTCGTCAATGAGGGTCGCTAATGAGGGTCGTCAATGAGGGCCGTCAATGAGGGCCGTCAATCAGGGTCGTCAATGAGGGCCGTCAATGAGGGCCGTCAATGAGGGCCGTCAATGAGGGTCGTCAATGAGGGTCGCTAATGAGGGCCGTCAATGAGCGTCGTCAATGAGGTTCGTCAATGAGGGTCGTCAATGAGCGTCGTCAATGAGCGTCGTCAATGAGGGTCGTCAATGAGGGTCGTCAATGAGGTTCGTCAATGAGGGCCGTCAATGAGGTTCGTCAATGAGGGCCGTCAATGAGGGCCGTCAATGCGGGTCATCAATGAGGGTCGTCAATGGGGGCCGTCAATGGGGGCCGTCAATGGGGGCCGTCAATGGGGGGCGTCAATGAGGGTCGTCAATGAGGGTCGTCAATGAGGGTCGTCAATGAGGGTCGTCAATGAGCGTCGTCAATGAGGGTCGTCAATGAGGGCCGTCAATGGGGGTCGTCAATGAGGGTCGTCAATGAGCGTCGTCAATGAGCGTCGTCAATGAGCGTCGTCAATGAGGGCCGTCAATGAGGGCCGTCAATGAGGGTCCTCAATGAGGGTCGTCAATGCGGGTCGTCAATGCGGGTCGTCAATGAGGGTCGTCAATGAGGGCCGTCAATGAGGGTCATTAATGAGGGCCGTTAATGAGGGTCATTAATGAGGGCGTTAATGAGGGCCCCTCACCTCCACGAAGTTGTGGATGGCCTCCAGGTAGGCCAAGTTGTTGTCGGTGACGTCAACGCAGATGCAGAAGTAGAGGCCGGCGTAGCGGCGGTAAATGATCTTGAAGTTCCGGAACTGGGGGGGAAATAGGGGGATGGGGGGAATGGGGGTGATGGGGGTGATGGGGGGAATGGGGGAATGGGGAGAATGGGGGGATTCGGGGGAATGGGTGGGATGAGGGGAATGGGGGGGATGGGGGATGGGAGCAATGGAGGCAATGGGGATAATGGGGGCAATGGGAGTAATAGGGGCAATGGGGGGAATGAGGGAATGGGGGGAATGGGGATAATAGGGTGAATGGAGGCAATGGGGCAATGAGGGTAATGGGGGCAATGTGGGGTCACCCCCAGCTCCCTATTAAAGCCCCATCCCCAACCCTCGTCCCAGGGCTCCATCCCTGCCCCTCACCCCTGCTGCAGCCCCATTCCTCACCCCATTCCCAAAGAACCCCCGGGAAGTGAGGGATTTGGGAATCAGATCCCGGGATTTGGGGCTCAGATCCCGGGATTTGGGAATCAGATCCCGGGATTTGGGGTCAGATCCCGGGATTTGGGAATCAGATCCCGGGGATTTGGGGTCAGATCCCGGGATTTGGGGTCAGATCCCAAGATTTGGGGTCAGATCCTGGGATTTGGGGCTCGGATCCTGGGATTTGGGGTCAGATCCTGGGATTTGGGGTCCAGATCCTGGGATTTGGGGTCAGATCCTGGGATTTGGGGCTCGGATCCTGGGATTTGGGGTCAGATCCTGGGATTTGGGGGCTCAGATCCCGGGATTTGGGGTTAGATCCCAGGATTTGGGGTCAGATCCCGGGATTTGGGAATCAGATCCCGGGATTTGGGGTCAGATCCCGGGATTTGGGGTCAGATCCCGGGATTTGGGGTCAGATCCCAAGATTTGGGGTCAGATCCCAAGATTTGGGGCTCGGATCCTGGGATTTGGGGTCAGATCCTGGGATTTGGGGCTCGGATCCTGGGGATTTGGGGTCAGATCCTGGGATTTGGGGTCCAGATCCTGGGATTTGGGGTCAGATCCTGGGATTTGGGGTCAGATCCTGGGATCTGGGGCTCGGATCTGGGATCTGGGACTCAGATCCTGAGATTTGGGGTCAGATCCCGGGATTTGGGGTCAGATCCTGGGATTTGGGGATCAGATCCCGGGATTTGGGGTCAGATCCCAGGATTTGGGGTCAGATCCCGGGATTTGGGGTCAGACCCCAGGCTGTGGGTCTCAGACCCCTGGCTATGGGTCTCAAACCCCCAGCTATGGATCTCAGACCCCAAGGTGTGGGTCTCGGACCCCAATCTGTGGGTCTCAGACCCCCGGCTGCGGGTCTCAGACCCCCGGCTATGGGTCTCAGACCCCCGGCTATGGGATCTCAGACCCCAATCTGTGGGTCTCAAACCCCCGGCTATGGATCTCAGACCCCAATCTGTGGATCTCAGACCCCAATCTGTGGGTCTCAGACCCCCGGCTATGGGTCTCAGACCCCAAGGTGTGGGTCTCAAACCCCCAGCTATGGATCTCAGACCCCAAGGTGTGGGTCTCAAACCCCCAGCTATGGATCTCAGACCCCAAGGTGTGGGTCTCAAACCCCCAGCTATGGATCTCAGACCCCAATCTGTGGGTCTCAGACCCCCGGCTATGGATCTCAGACCCCAATTTGTGGGTCTCAGACCCCCGGCTATGGATCTCAGACCCCTGGCTATGGATCTCAGACCCCAATCTGTGGGTCTCAAACCCCCAGCTATGGATCTCAGACCCCAAGGTGTGGGTCTCAGACCCCCGGCTATGGGTCCCGGACCCCCAGCTATGGGTCTCAGTACCTCCACGAAGTTGGTGTGCTTGGCGTCGCGGACGGTGACCACGGCGTGCACCTCCTCGATGAGCTTCTGCTTCTCGTCGTCGTCGAACTGCATGTACCACTTGGCCAGGCGCGTCTTCCCCGCCCGGTTCTGGATCAGGATGAAGCGGATCTGCCCCACGGGGGGGGGAATAACGGGATCGGGGGGGGGAATAACGGGATCGGGGGGGATAACGGATCGGGGGGGGGAATAACGGGATTGGGGGGGGAATAATGGGATCGGGGGGGGGAATAACGGGATTGGGGGGGAATAATGGGATCGGGGGGGAAGAATGGGATTGGGGGGGATAACGGGATCGGGGGGGATAACGGGATCGGGGGGGGATAACGGGATCGGGGAATAACGGGATCGGGGGGGGATAACGGGATCGGGGGGGAATAACGGGATCGGGGGGGAATAACGGGATCAGGGGGAATAACGGGATCAGGGGGAATAACGGGATCAGGGGGGGAATAACGGGATCGGGGGGGATAACGGGATCGGGGGGGAGAATGGGATCATGGGGGTAAGAATGGGATGGGGGGGAGAATGGATTGGGGGGAAGAATGGGATCGGGGGGGCAATAACGGGATCGGGGGGGGAAATAACGGGATCGGGGGGGGGAGAATGGGATCATGGGGGTAAGAATGGGATGGGGGGGAGAATGGGATTGGGGGGAAGAATGGGATCGGGGGGGGGGATAACAGGATCGGGGGGGGAATAACGGGATCAGGGGGGGAATAACGGGATGGGGGGGGAAGAATGGGATTGGGGGGGGAGAATGGGATTGGGGGGGGAAGAATGGGATTGGGGGGGGAGAATGGGAACAGGGGGGCAAGAATGGGATTGGGGGGGAGAATGGGATCGGGGGGAGAATGGGATTGGGGGGAGAATGGGATCAGGGGGGCAAGAATGGGATCGGGGGGGAGATGGGATCGGGGGGGGAAGAATGGGATCAGGGGGGGAGAATGGGATCAGGGGGGGAGAATGGGATTGGGGGGAAGAATGGGATTGGGGGGGAAGAATGGGATTGGGGGTAAGAATGGGATCGGGGGAGAGAATGGGATTGGGGGGGAAGAATGGGATTGGGGGGGAGAATGGGATTGGGGGGGAGAATGGGATCAGGGGGCAGAATGGGATTGGGGGGGGAAGAATGGGATTGGAGGGGCAAGAATGGGATCGGGGGGGGGCAAGAACGGGATCGGGGGGGCAATAACGGGATGGGGGGGGCAAGCTATATGTGCTGTATGTGTCCCATAGGGAGTGTTCTATGCCCCTACCTATAGAACATCATATGTTCCATGCATGCACACACACTATATATGCTATATATGTTATATGTATGTTATATATATGTTATATATGTTATATGTGTTATATATGTTATATGTGTTAATGTGTTATATGTGTGATATATGTTTTATCTGTTTATATATGTTGTATGTGTTATACGTGTGTTATATATGTTATATATGTTATATATGTTACTGCACTACATAACTTACATTGTTCTTACATATTACATATCCTATATACACTATGGATGCTTTACATTGTTGTGTATGTCATATATAATGCACATCCCATATATTACATATAATAAAACAATATTATATTGTGCATGCTATATGAAATAGATACAAATATTATATAGAACATACATATTATATATGTAACACGTATAGGAAGTCATATGCTGCCTAGAGGGACTCTTATATGCCCCCTATATGTCCCATAGGGGAGTCTTATGTCTCCCCCCTATATGTCCCATAGGGAGTCTTCTCTCTCCCCCTATATGTCCCATAGGGAATCTTCTCTCTCCCCCCTATATGTCCCATAGGGAGTCTTCTCTCTCCCCCCATATATCCCATAGGGAGTCTTCTCTCTCCCCCCATATATCCCATAGGGATTCTTCTCTCTCCCCCCATATATCCCATAGGGAGTCTTCTCTCTCCCCCCTATATGTCCCATAGGGAGTCTTGCATGCCAGCTGTATGTAAGATGTACATATGACAGACATATGTGTTACATATATGTTATATATATATTATTATGCATTTTATTGCTCTATAGGGTTTATATCCCATATTATATACCTATATTACATGCAATATATATATATAACATATTAGATCCATAGGGCATCAAAGGAGCCTTCTATCACCTCAATGCCTGACAAAGCCCCCCAACAGTCCCCCCTCCCCATAGGGCAGCCCCATAGAGGCACTCCAATGGGGTGCCCTATAGAAGACACCCCCCCGACCCTTACCCCCCCCCAAAGCCGCTCCCTATGGGGGGGACCCCACACCCCCACAAAGCCAGCTCGCAATGGGAGCGCCCTATAGGGCCCCCCTCCCCTATGGGGCACCCCATAGCCCCCTATGGCCCCTCCTCAATGGGGAGCCCCCCCCTTCTTCCCGTTGCTCACCATGGCTGCTGGTCCCGTGCCCCCCCGGCTCCGGCTCGAACCGGATATCCGCTCCCGGCCGCCGCGGGGCACGATGGGAGTTGTAGTCCCGCCCCCTCCGCTTTGGGCCACATTACCCAGAGGCCTTTGCGCCGAGCGCGGGGCATGACGGGAGTTGTAGTCCCGACCCCACTGCTTTGGGCCACATTACCCAGAGGGCTTTGCGCTGAGCGCAGGGCATTACGGGAGTCGTAGTCCCGCCCCCTCCGCTTTGGGCCACATTACCCAGAAGCCTTTGCGCCGAGCGCGGGGCACGACGGGAGTCGTAGTCCCGCCCCCTCCGCTTTGGGCCACATTACCCAGAAGCCTTTGCGCCGAGCGCGGGGCACGACGGGAGTCGTAGTCTTCCCCTCGTTCCGCTGCCGCTCCCGCCCCACCGAGGCCTCCGTGCAGGCCGCAGGCCTCACACCCGGGCTCCGTTCGCTCCGGTTGGGGGGCGCTCACCGCCGTTAATCCGCGGGCGTGGTGGGGGTGTCCCGGTGTCCACCGGAGCCTTTGAGGCCTTCCTTCGCCTTCCTCTTCCTACGCATGCGTAAAGAGCGCGCACAGCGCCCCCTAGCGCACGGGAGGAAGCGGAGGAGGAGGAGGAGGAGGAGGAGGAGGAGGAGGAGGAGGGAGGGGGGGGGGGGGGGGGAGGAAGGCGCCGCCGCCGCCGCCATTACGAGGCCGAGCCCGCCCCGCCGCCGCCCCCCGCCGCCGCCCCGAGGGGGGGACATGGCGCTGCCGCCGCCCGCAGCCCCCGGCCCGGCCGCCACGGTAAGAGCGGCCCTGTCCGCACCCCACACCCCCCCCACATCCCACCCCATAGACATCCACACAACCCCCCCCTCCCCCCCCCCTGCGAACAATGGGACCGCCCCACCCCCGCTAAGCGCTGTCCCAGCCGGGCCGGCCCAAAACCCGGGGGGGGGGGGGGGGGGGAGCGAGAACCTCCCCCCCCCCCTGCGATGGGGTGGGGTGGGGGGTCAGGACTAAGGGAGGCCCCATAAGTTATGGGGCAGGATGGGGGACACCCCCCGTGACAAGGGGCAATGCACCCCCCGCGCTATGGGGTGGAGGGAAGGGGGTGTTTCTCCCCCCCCACCCCCCCATCATGGGGGTAAATGGAGGTGCCCCAGCCTGAACGGGCCTTAAGGACCCCCCCCCCCCCCCCATTGGGGGGCTGTACCACGTGGGGGGGGGGGGGTGCGTGTCCATTACCCCCCCCCCTCCCCCTTATTCCATCCCTTTCCCTCTTGTCCCATCCCATTCCCAAGCTTTCCCCTATGGAAGCACCCCCAAAGCCACCCCCTCCTCCATCCGCCGCCCCTTTTGGTCCAGGGATAACGGGAATGGGGGGGGTTGGCATGGGAAGAACCACATTGGGGGGGTTAATGGGAATGGGGGGGTTAATGGGGATAGGGGGGTTCATGGGAATAGGGGGGGTTAATGGGAATGGGGGGGTTAATGGGAATGTTGGGGTTCAATGGGAATGGGGGTGCTTAATGGGAATGGGGGGGTTTAATGGGAATAGGGGGGTTTAGTGGGAATAGGGGTTTAATGGGAATGGGGGGGTTAATGGGGATAGGGGGGTTTAATGGGAATGGGGGGGTTAATGGGAATGTTGGAGTTTAATGGGAATGTTGGGGTTTAATGGGGATAGGGGTTTAATGGGAATGGGGGTCCTTAATGGGAATAGGGGTTTAATGGGAATGGGGGGGTTTAATGGGAATGGGGGGGTTTAATAGGAATAGGTGGGTTTAGTGGGAACAGGGGGTTTAATGGGAATAGGGGTTTAATGGGAATGGGGGTGTTTAATGGGAATGTTGGGGTTTAATCGGGATAGGGGGGTTTAATGGGAATGGGGGTGTTTAATGGGAATAGGGGTTTTAATGGGAATAGGGGTTTAATGGGAATGGGGGGGTTTAATAGGAATAGGGGGGTTTAGTGGGAACAGGGGGTTTAATGGGAATAGGGGGGTTTAGTGGGAACAGGGGGTTTAATGGGAATAGGGGTTTAATGGGAATGGGGGTGTTTAATGGGAATGTTGGGGTTTAATCGGGATAGGGGGGTTTAATGGGAATGGGGGTGCTTAATGGGAATAGGGGGTTTAATGGGAATAGGAGGTTTAATGGAAATGGGGGTGTTTAATGGGAATAGGGGGGTTTGCTGGGGATAGGGGGGTTTAATGGGAATGGGGGTGCTTAATGGGAATAGGGGGTTTAATGGGAATAGGGGGTTTAATGGGAATGGGGGGGTTTAATGGGAATAGGGGTTTAATGGGAATAGGGGGTTTAATGGGAATAGGTGGTTTAATGGGATTAGGGGGGTTTAATGGGAATAGGGGTTTAATGGGAATGGGATGGGATGAATGGGAATGGGGTGGGATGAATGGGAATAGGTGGTTTAATGGCATTAGGGGGGTTTAATGGGAATAGGGGTTTAATGGGAATAGGGGGTTTAATGGGAATAGGGGTTTAATGGGAATAGGGGGTTTAATGGGAATGGGATGGGATGAATGGGAATGGGATGGGATGAATGGGAATAGGTGGTTTAATGGCATTAGGGGGGTTTAATGGGAATCGGGGTTTAATGGGAATAGGGGGTTTAATGGGAATGGGATGGGATGAATGGGAATGGGGTGGGATGAATGGGAATAGGTGGTTTAATGGCATTAGGGGGGTTTAATGGGAATAGGGGTTTAATGGGAATAGCGGGTTTAATGGGAATAGGGGTTTAATGGGAATAGGGGGTTGAATGGGAATGGGGTGGGATGAATGGGAATGGGGTGGGATGAATGGGAATAGGGGGTTTAATGGGAATGGGATGGGATGAATGGGAATGGGGGGGTTAATGGGAATGGGGGGTTCGTGCCTTGCTGCTGATGTGAATGGGGCTTTGCTCCCGTTCGGATCCCGTCAGGAGCTGCTGGATCCCTCCGAGCCGCTGGGAATTGGTGCTTGAATCCAGGGTGCTCCAGGCCGGATCCACAGGTGAGGGCACCTGGAAGCTCCCATTCCATGCTTCCCATCCCGCTTTCCACCCGGATAAACCCCCCCCCCCATCGGTCCCAAAGGCTGTGGCGTTCCATCCCCATTCCCAAAGTGGGGAAGCTCCATAAGGCTCCATCATGGGGCTGGGAATGGAGAGTCAAATCCCTTTTCCTTCCTCCTTCTTTGATCCCTTTGGATCTTCCCCTTCCTTTCCCAACCACCCCCATTGTGTCTCCAGCTTGGCTTTTCCCTCGTGGCGTTCGCCCATCCCATGGGATTGGTAAATGGTGGCTTTGGGAATGTCCCCTTGGGAAGCTCATCCTCTCCTAAACGATCTCCAGGCCATCCATAGGGCTTGACCGGGATCCTTCCCTCCTTATCCTCAACCCATGGTGGGGCTGCTGGATGGGGAATATCCAATGGGATTGGAAAACCCTTTGGGAAGCTCCAGGAGCCATCCCTATGGCCAACACCTTCCCACCCCACCAGTGAGCTCCGGGCCTCGCTTTGGGTTGGGAACGGGCTCGGAGATGGGAATTCCTCTTTTTGTCCTTCAGGGAATGCCCATTGCTTGGCATTGCCGTTGGGAATGGGGTGGGAAGAGGGATTTTGGGGTGGTTGCCATGGAAGCGGGCGCGCTGACGGCACCGTCGCGGCCGCAATTGAGGAGCGGCAGCTTGGGGTTGGCCTGGTTGGGCCTCAGGTTGCTCCTGGCTCCGTTGCTGAGGGATCTCAAGGGCTTTGGCCCCATCCTTGGTGACTCACAGGGACCTTGCTCCGGCGCTGGGATCTTCTCCAGGAGGTTGGATGGATCCATCCCCGCTACGGAGAGGGTCCTGGATGGGTTCTGCTCTGGTTGGGTTGGATGTTGGATGCTTCCTGGGGGTGGGAAGGGCTTTGTTTGGGCCATGGACATGGACATTGGACATGGACATGCACATGGACATTGGGCGTGGTCAGCACCTCAATGGAGACCTACACATGGACGTTGGCCATGGCCAACACCTCAATGGAGACCTGCACATGGCCATGGTCAACACTTCAATGGAGACCTGCACATGGACATTGGCCGTGGTCAACACCTCAATGGAGACCTGCACATGGACATTGGCCATGGCCAACACCTCAATGGAGACCTGCACATGGCCATGGTCAACACCTCAATGGAGACCTGCACATGGACATTGGCCGTGGTCAGCACCTCAATGGAGACCTGCACATGGCCATGGTCAACAGTTCAATGGAGACCTGCACATGGACATTGGCTGTGGTCAGCACCTCAGTGGAGACCTGCACATGGACGTTGGCCATGGCCAACACCTCAATGGAGACCTGCACATGGACATTGGCCGTGGTCAGCACCTCAATGGAGACCTGCACATGGACGTTGGCCATGGCCAACATCTCAATGGAGACCTGCACATGGACATTGGCCACGGCCAACACCTCAGTGGAGACCTGCACATGGACATTGGCCATGGCCAACACCTCAGTGGAGACCTGCACATGGACATTGGCCATGGCCAACACCTCAATGAAGACCTGCACATGGACATTGGCCGTGGTCAACACCTCAATGAAGACCTGCACATGGACATTGGCCATGGCCAACACCTCAGTGGAGACCTGCACATGGCCATGGCCTACACTTCAATGGAGACCTGCACATGGACATTGGCCATGGCCAACACCTCAATGGAGACCTGCACATGGACATTGGCCATGGCCAACACCTCAATGGAGACCTGCACATGGACATTGGCCATGGCCAACACCTCAGTGGAGACCTGCACATGGCCATGGCCTGCACTTCAATGGAGACTTGCACATGGACGTTGGCCATGGCCAACACCTCAATGAAGACCTGCACATGGACATTGGCCGTGGTCATTGGGGGTGGTGGGCCACTGGGATGGGTTGAATGGAGAAGCTTTGGCTGCTCCATCACCATCAAGGCCAGGTTGGAGCATCCCTTTGGAAAGCATCCCTATTGGAAGTGGATGATCTCTGGCTCTCTCCCAACCCAAAGCATTCCACGCTTGCGTGCTGTAGCTTGGACCAGGTGGTGCTTGAAGGTCCTTC